TAAACATATTATACTACCTATATACAACCTCTCTTCTAAACATATTATACTACCTATATACAACCTCTCTTCTAAACATATTATACTACCTATATACAACCTTCCTTCTAAACATATTATACAACCTCTCTTCTAAACATATTATACTACCTATATACAACCTCTCTTCTAAACATATTATACTACCTATATACAACCTCTCTTCTAAACATATTATACTACCTATATACAACCTCTCTTCTAAACATATTATACAACCTCTCTTCTAAACATATTATACTACCTATATACAACCTTCCTTCTAAACATATTATACAACCTCTCTTCTAAACATATTATACTACCTATATACAACCTCTCTTCTAAACATATTATACTACCTATATACAACCTCTCTTCTAAACATATTATACTACCTATATACAACCTCTCTTCTAAACATATTATACAACCTCTCTTCTAAACATATTATACTACCTATATACAACCTCTCTTCTAAACATATTATACAACCTCTCTTCTAAACATATTATACTACCTATATACAACCTCTCTTCTAAACATGTTATACTACCTATATACAACCTCTCTTCTAAACATGTTATACTACCTATATACAACCTCTCTTCTAAACATGTTATACTACCTATATACAACCTCTCTTCTAAACATATTATACAACCTCTCTTCTAATACAACCTCTCTTCTAAACATATTATACTACCTATATACAACCTTCCTTCTAAACATATTATACTGCTTATATACAACCTTCCTTCTAAACATATTATACTACCTATATACAACCTTCCTTCTAAACATATTATACTGCTTATATACAACCTTCCTTCTAAACATATTATGCATGGTCCCTTATTCTAACTGTATCATTGTGGGGAAACATCGTCCCTTATCACTGTAATACTGTATCATTGTGGGGAAACATTGTCCCTTATTCTAACTGTATCATTGTGGGGAAACAATGTCCCTTATCACTGTAATACTGTATCATTGTGGGGAAACATGGTCCCTTATCACTGTAATACTGTATCGTTGTGGGGAAACATTGTCCCTTATCACTGTAATACTGTATCATTGTGGGGAAACATTGTCCCTTATTCTAACTGTATCATTGTGGGGAAACATTGTCCCTTATCACTGTAATACTGTATCATTGTGGGGAAACATTGTCCCTTATCACTGTAATACTGTATCGTTGTGGGGAAACATTGTCCCTTATCACTGTAATACTGTATCATTGTGGGGAAACATTGTCCCTTATTCTAACTGTATCATTGTGGGGAAACATTGTCCCTTATCACTGTAATACTGTATCATTGTGGGGAAACATTGTCCCTTATTCTAACTGTATCATTGTGGGGAAACATTGTCCCTTATTCTAACTGTATCATTGTGGGGAAACTTTTGAGTAAATGATATGATTCTTTTCAACTCTACCTCCTGATATCAGTTCCTATCAAATGTTTTTCCTCAATCTCTATCCTCGTTAGACCTTACCAATATCATACACGATAAAGAATCCATTCAGAAATAATTTCCCTTTAATGACCATTTTATAAGTAGGTATATTGGCTTCATTTTACAACTTGACAAATATCAATACAATCAACACAATCAATATCAATATATATACCTATCTCAGCTTATGTCATTTTTCAATTAATAAACCACAAATAAAAAAGTAAAATCTCAAACTATTTAATATCCTGTACAAAATGCTTCAGTTTATTTGTATAGAAGTCATATTTCATAAGATATTGTGACCCTCTGGCAAACAGGGTACTATGGGCCAGCTTGTCAAATGATTGATGTCCAAACAAATAGAAAAGCTATGTCAGCAATCCCAAATCTTAGGTACATTTAATGACCTCTTAAACATTCTGTAATAATTTTCCAAGGAGAAAACAATTTATTCTGTTTCCTTTTTTTGTCTGAACGGGCCTAAGTTTTGCCATCATTCAACTTTTAAATGATATTGTCATTCTTTGAGCATTTTCTAAATTACAAAAGGAATATATATAGGTATGTAATATTAAGTTTAAGTCTCTCCAGAAATGAAACACACCTGCCTTTTCATCAAAAATTTTTTTTTTTTTCTAATATTGAAAAGAGTTATACTTTGGGATGATTTTGATTACCATATATATACACTGTAGATAGCAATCCAATCATTGTAATCCTACATGTATGATCATACAGTTCTCATTCTACTGTAATCCTACATGTATGATCATACAGTTCTGATTCTACTGTAATCCTACATGTATGATCATACAGTTCTGATTCTACTGTAATCCTACATGTATGATCATACAGTTCTGATTCTACTGTAATCCTACATGTATGATCATACAGTTCTGATTCTACTGTAATCCTACATGTATGATCATACAGTTCTGATTCTACTGTAATCCTACATGTATGATCATACAGTTCTGAATAATCCTACATGTATGATCATACAGTTCTGATTCTAGTGTAATCCTACATGTATGATCATACAGTTCTGATTCTACTGTAATCCTACATGTATGATCATACAGTTCTGATTCTACTGTAATCCTACATGTAATCCAGTACATGTATGATCATACAGTTCTGATTCTACTGTAATCCTACATGTATGATCATACAGTTCTGATTCTACTGTAATCCTACATGTATGATCATACAGTTCTGATTCTACTGTAATCCTACATGTATGATCATACAGTTCTGATTCTACTGTAATCCTACATGTATGATCATACAGTTCTGATTCTACTGTAATCCTACATGTATGATCATACAGTTCTGATTCTACTGTAATCCTACATGTATGATCATACAGTTCTGATTCTACTGTAATCCTACATATATGATCATACAGTTCTGATTCTACTGTAATCCTACATGTATGATCATACAGTTCTGATTCTACTGTAATCCTACATGTATGATCATACAGTTCTGATTCTACTGTAATCCTACATGTATGATCATACAGTTCTGATTCTACTGTAATCCTACATGTATGATCATACAGTTCTGATTCTACTGTAATCCTACATGTATGATCATACAGTTCTGATTCTACTGTAATCCTACATGTATGATCATACAGTTCTGATTCTACTGTAATCCTACATGTATAATCATACAGTTCTGATTCTACTGTAATCCTACATGTATGATCATACAGTTCTGATTCTACTGTAATCCTACATGTATGATCATACAGTTCTCATTCTACTGTAATCCTACATGTATGATCATACAGTTCTCATTCTACTGTAATCCTACATGTATGATCATACAGTTCTGATTCTACTGTAATCCTACATGTATGATCATACAGTTCTCATTCTACTGTAATCCTACATGTATGATCATACAGTTCTGATTCTACTGTAATCCTACATGTATGATCATACAGTTCTGATTCTACTGTAATCCTACATGTTCTGATTCTACTGTAATCCTACATGTATGATCATACAGTTCTGATTCTACTGTAATCCTACATGTATGATCATACAGTTCTGATTCTACTGTAATCCTACATGTATGATCATACAGTTCTGATTCTACTGTAATCCTACATGTATGATCATACAGTTCTGATTCTACTGTAATCCTACATGTATGATCATACAGTTCTGATTCTATTCTGTACTGTAATCCTACATGTATGATCATACAGTTCTGTACTGTAATCCTACATGTATGATCATACAGTTCTGATTCTACTGTAATCCTACATGTATGATCATACAGTTCTGATTCTACTGTAATCCTACATGTATGATCATACAGTTCTGATTCTACTGTAATCCTACATGTATGATCATACAGTTCTGATTCTACTGTAATCCTACATGTATGATCATACAGTTCTGATTCTACTGTAATCCTACATGTATGATCATACAGTTCTGATTCTACTGTAATCCTACATGTATGATCATACAGTTCTGATTCTACTGTAATCCTACATGTATGATCATACAGTTCTGATTCTACTGTAATCCTACATGTATGATCATACAGTTCTGATTCTACTGTAATCCTACATGTATGATCATACAGTTCTGATTCTACTGTAATCCTACATGTATGATCATACAGTTCTGATTCTACTGTAATCCTACATGTATGATCATACAGTTCTGATTCTACTGTAATCCTACATGTATGATCATACAGTTCTGATTCTACTGTAATCCTACATGTATGATCATACAGTTCTGATTCTACTGTAATCCTACATGTATGATCATACAGTTCTCAACTGTAATCTACTGTAATCCTACATGTATGATCATACAGTTCTGATTCTACTGTAATCCTACATGTATGATCATACAGTTCTGATTCTACTGTAATCCTACATGTATGATCATACAGTTCTGATTCTACTGTAATCCTACATGTATGATCATACAGTTCTGATTCTACTGGAATCCTACATGTATGATCATACAGTTCTGATTCTACTGTAATCCTACATGTATGATCATACAGTTCTCATTCTACTGTAATCCTACATGTATGATCATACAGTTCTGATTCTACTGTAATCCTACATGTATGATCATACAGTTCTCATTCTACTGTAAAATCTTTTTTTTTTCTGAGGAATTTATTTTCATTTATTTTCTAGTATTTTTAGCTTCATATATTATGCTAATAAGGTAAAAATGTACCATCATACATTTCAAGCATTTGAAGTTAAAGTTAGGACTTTTTGACCTTTGAAAATGCTTTCTTACAAACAAATATTTTATAACATTTTAGAAGCTACTGACACCTAACCTTTACAATAAATTTCCTTCATTACACAGCTTTTAAATTGTTCCTGCTAAAAAACAAAAGGAAAAAAATCAGAACAATTTGTTACTTGTGTTCATATTTTCACAACACCCCATCGATACACACCTGTATCAATTCATCAATACGTGAATTATTCACCAATTTTTTAAAAATATTCTGACACTTACCCGCACTTTGGGCACAACCCTTCGCATACACTCATCATGGCTTTCAGTATCTCGTAAAAGGTCAGGAAGGTTGTGGATCACACTAATCCTTTGTACTTCTTGCCCAGAGCTGCAAACATAAACAGAAAGCAACATTAAAAAAACTACAAAAGGAATGATAAATGTATCTTACTTTCGCTATTGAAGAATTTTAACAATGAAATTTTATTGCTATGATGACATAAAAATCTTTCAAAGTATATCAAAATTAGCTAATTGGGGCAAAAAGGACTGAAAGTTTTTCATGTGATATTCATGAAGAACTTTTTTAAATGTTGAATATCAATCAAGATTTTATATTCAAGTGTAAAATTTTGGAAAACAGGAGCCTTCTTCTGACATAGGGATGGTCATCAATATGTAACTTAATCAATGAAAACTAAAAGCCATCAAATACATTAAAATTTGATAAAAATATTGTTCTTAAGAAAAAAAGATATTGTAACAATTTCTTTTTACTATAGTTGTACAACTAAAAATTTAATGTTTGTTTGGGTTTCTTTTATAGTGCATTGAAAATTACAACTGCAAACAGAGTCCATTGTCAAACAGTAAGAGACTTGTAGCAATATATAAACCCATAATTCAAACAAGCAACCTAACCTGTTGAAATGTCATTAGCAATATATATATATATCACTGGAAATCTGTCTGTCTGTGTCTCAGTCTGACTGGCTGTGTGTCTCAGTCTGATTGGACTGTGTCTCAGTCTGACTGGGCCATGTGTCTCAGTCTGACTGGCTGTGTCTCAGTTTGACTGGGCCGTGTGTCTCAGTCTGATTGACTATGCACCAGTCTGACTGGCTGTGTCTCAGTCTGACTGGCCCCGTGTCTCAGTCTGACTGGCTGTGTCCCATTCTGACTGGCTGTGTCTCAGTCTGACTGGCCCTGTGTCTCAGTCTGACTGACTGTGTCCCAGTCTGACTGGCTGTGTCTCAGTCTGACTGGCTGTGTCCCATTCTGACTGGCTGTGTCTCAGTCTGACTGGCCCTGTGTCTCAGTCTGACTGACTGTGCACCAGTCTGACTGGCTGTGTCTCTGTCTGACTGACTATGCACCAGTCTGACTGGCTGTGTCTCAGTCTGAATGTCTGTGTCTCAGTCTGACTGGGCCATGTGTCTCAGTCGGACTGGCTGTATGTCTCAGTTGGACTGGCCCTGTGTCTCAGTCAGACTGGCTGTGTGTCTCTGTCTGACTGACTATGCACCAGTCTGACTGGCTGTGTCTGTCTGACTGACAATGCACCAGTCTGACTGGCTGTGTCTCAGTCTGACTGGCTGTGTCTCATTCTGACTGGCTTTGTCTCAGTCTGACTGACTGAGCCCTCAAGTTTGCTTAGGATACATAGGGTCACAAAGTAGGACTAGATGTTGTGGCAAGGTAAACACCACGCTGTGTAAAGACTTTGGACCAAATGTTGAAAACCACAAGAAAACTGTTTTCATTAAGAACACGTGTAATGTACTCTAAGATATATTTATATTAACAATCCATTTAGGCTGTGAGAACAATGCATATTTCAACAGACTTCCCTCTGTTAATATTGTATATATGACTCCAGTGAAATGTCAAGACTATTTTCGTTTTCATTTGTGAATTACATGTATTATCAATAAATAGATGCCTCGGCACTACCAATTGTAGAAAGGATGACAGCCCCTCCCTCCCCTTTCTCTCTTTTTCTTGATTATCATTACAAACTGTTGTGACTATAACAGGTTCCTTAGTGCTCAGATCAAGTCTATTTCAGAGTAATTCAAGTTTGAGATGTGAACCAGAATACCTGTCAATCAAGAAACCTGGCAATTAACAGGAAAGGTTTTCTATACCCAAGACTAAGACATTTGTTTCAATCAATCAGGAAAGACAATCTAACTACATATATCTGCTGTTGTTTTAATTTTACTCTCTCACAAATGTTATGATTTCTCTTTCGGAACTTGATTATTTAATTCAAACAGCTAATGATAATAAAAAACTTTCCTCAGATCATTTTATACTTAATTTGATGTGTGACTTAACGGGTACAATTTATAAAATGTAATTATCAAGTGTTGTATCCTGATTATAGATACCAGACAGTTCCTGTATAATGTGTCAGTGTTGAGTATTGTGATACTGATAAACCTGCAGTACAAACCATCACCTTGTACTGTTATAACAAACTGGTGACTAACAAGCCAGTGTTTACTTCATCACTTCCCTGTTAAAAACTTAAATATACACACAGTGTTTCAGAGAGTTTTGTCTCTCGAACAGCCATCTTTTTTAAACTTTAAATTCAATCACAGTAAAAATTTAAAACTTTTTTTGTATGCTCAAACACAGATTACAGGTAGGCTGTAGTCAGACACACAGGCTGATTCAAACACTAATGTGTTCATTGGACTGCAGTCCTAGTAATCTACTGTTTGCTGATTCCACAATAAAGTCTGGAGCGTAGCCACCTCCCCTGACTGCTGTTTGGTAGAATTACAAACTAATGCTATTTGATTGCCCTGTAAGAAACTTAACCCCTGACCTTCAGTCAGAAATTTAAGAAACTTGTTACAACTGATAAATAATTCTATAGAGTTTCAAGAAGCTGGTCAAATGTTTGTAACCTTACATTTATCTGGAATGATTCAGTAAGCTTCTCTGATCACCTGGATTGGATCAATAAGCATGTGTGACTGCCTGGATTGGATCAATAGGCATGTGTGACTACCTGGATTGGATCAATAAGCATGTGTGACTACCTGGATTGGATCAATAAGCATGTGTGACTACCTGGATTGGATCAATAAGCATGTGTGACTACCTGGATTGGATCAATAAGCATGTGTGACTACCTGGATTGGATCAATAAGCATGTGTGACTACCTGGTTTGGATCAATAAGCATGTGTGACTACCTGGATTGGATCAATAAGCATGTGTGACTACCTGGATTGGATCAATAAGCATGTGTGACTACATGGATTGGATCAATAAGCATGTGTGACTACATGAATTGGATCAATAAGCATGTGTGACTACCTTGAATGGCTCAATAAGGCTGTTTACTTGGAACTGTTCAATATGCCCTGAAGTCAACTTGGAATGTTTCAATGAGTCCCTCTGATAAGTTCTGGTTAATTAACAGATTAGAATACTTGGACAAAATCAGATGAAACCATTCTTGAAGGCTGTTTGTGGCTTTTTGATGGATGAGTTTGTACATTAATTCTGAAGGGTTCTTGCCTCCCTTGTCCATTTCACTGCCCAGCCTCTGTATCCTGCTGACCCGTATAACCTCTACCTCCTCACCAAGGACTACTTCTCACCAGACCACAATTTTTCTACTAGTATGATCAACTTGACACCTTCTTCTAGATATGAAATATTGATCATAAAATGAATGAACAGTTATTCAGAAAGCGTTTTCCTTTTTGATATACATAGTGCATACTCTGCACTGAATTGTAAACAGAAGAAGTGTATTTTGAGTGGCTTTTTTTCAAAACAAATAAAAATCATTAAAAAAGAAAACCAGTTACTGACAATCGATGTACACTATTAAAAATCTTCCAGCACCAAACTGTGTTAGCAGTGTCAAACAATTGGGTTTCCACTGAGTTTGGAGTTCCTGGTGGGACTTTTTCACTTTCAAAGTACAAACAAGGCCACAATACTTCAACGGATCTCAGCTTTTCTGTAAGTCATTAATTTATCATCTACCAAAATATTACTGGAGATGTCTGTATCTAAATGATATGAATTTTTTATTTCATTGAGAATAGTTCATAAATTATAGATAATTTAAGAATTATAGAAAAAGGAGCATGACTGAGATATTACAAGAAACTGACAATACTTAGACCTTGGCTGCTGCTGTCAATCTGACAACAACCATCAATCCCTTGTGGACAAACCTTACAATAATTGTACATGATTGTCACCAAAGTAAATTTGCTCTCCATTACCTTTCTTATTGGACAGAGAAAAAAAATCTGATTTGACTGATTAAATTATGACTAATTTGAAGGACTGGGTGAAAACTGTCTCACAAAGATCACTAATTGATGTCACCGTCCTGATATATGGATTTTCTCTTAACCTTTTACTTCATACTGTTAAGATTCCTTATGGAAAAGATTATTTGATTTGAAAACTTGAAAAGAAGATTTTAGTAAAATTGAATTTCTGAGATATTTTCAGGTTTTTAGTCTTTAAGGAATATACTGTACTGCTTCAATGCACATCTCTCACAACCCCGCAGGCAGAGTGAAGAAGGCCAGACATTATTTATGTACATACATAATTTCATTCTACTAAAACACTTTTCGCATTTTGTAAATCCTGACATCTCGTACAGTTTTATTGAAATATATTTTAAACTACACATTAAATGTTTTGTATTTCCTGACATGACACCTAATCTTGTTGAAATAAATTTTGAAGCTACATATAAAATGTTTTAGGATGACAAAATATGCCAGTGGCTATACAGCTAGCATGGATTAAGAGTTTTTTAAAGGCCGAATATAAGATCGGCTATCCTAACTATTTTGTAGGCCATGTTAACGCCCTCGGCCGTAACATTTAATTGCTGAACATGATATAAAAAGCAAACAAAAATCTAATTTTCCGAAGTAGTTGAAGTGATTCTAATTTCCCTAATGAGGTTATTTAAACGCTTTACGAATCAAATGACTCGAACACTTTGCGAATTTGATCAGATGGTAGGGGGCATGGTTTGCTAACAAAAGATTTAACAAATTTATTTACAGTAAATATACGACAGCAAGGTCAAATGTTTGACCAAGGCAAATTGCTTTAGAAATAAATTTATCATACAAGAAGATATGTGAATATATGGGGATGGCTTTCAAGTGTCTGTTGACCTCATGAATTTGAGTACCTAGAATAATGTTGGGGTGATTCTTAGGTGTCTGTTGACTGTTGTATCTACAATAACATTTCCTATCTCAGTAAATGAAATACCTCTGGCCGTCATCCAAATGCTTTATATATTTTTGTATGGATATATATTTAAGATGAGCACAATTTCAACAGAAAGTTCAAATATATATACACAGATCATTGTCGC